ATGCTATCAAGGGTATTCCCTGTGTATTTGTTGTGTAACAGGGAGGGAGAGTTGAACAAGGAGGGCAATGGGAGTGTGTGTGTGTGTGTGCGCAGCCTTTGCCTCCAAGACACGGCACAAACACACACACACACACACACACACACACACACACACACACACACACACACACCAGCGGCAGCAGCATAACCACACCAACTGCTGGATGCTTTAAGGGCCAGACATGCTGTGTGTTTGCACCAGTGCACATTTTGCACCTCTGATGCCATAACGGAATGCTAAAACAAAGCATGAACATGACACTTCATTCTATGTCTTACTCTTATTTTAACAATTACTATCACCTTTTTGCTTTTCTGTTGGATATAGACTAGATCTTTTTGTGGATTTGGGGAAGTGGTGTTTCACTGTAGAATTAGGTTATAGTCTATGGGAATGGTGACAAGACATCCTTCCTCCATAAGTCTGTTTAGCTGATTGACATCTATAAACAGTATTTCTATCACTCACATTGTGGACCACAGTATATGTAACACATCTATACAAAGTGAGTGTATGTAAAACACATCTATACAAAGTGAGTGTATGTAGCACATCTATACACAGTGTATCTTACCTAGACATACAGGGATTCGTACACATGTTTTTCAGACGTTTCCACACAATATTTTCAAAACGTCTACACACAGTGAGCCTGTGTTCCTTACACGTCTACACACAGTGAGCCTGTGTTTTGTATACATCTATAACACAGTGTTTCTGACACGTCTTCACACAGTGGGCCTCTGGTATGTGGATTAGTCAGTGTGGCGGACGCTTGAGCTGCAGCACGACTCGGTAAACAAAGCCTCATTTAAAGGGCCTCTACACTGTGACCTCACCGCAACAGACGGCTGTCATCCTTGTCGCCTCTCACACCTCTGTCTGTCTCTCTGTAGCTGGACAATGGAGGGACACGTTGTGATCAAAGTGGAGGCATCCCCCCTGCCTATCTCTGTTGCTTACTTTACTATTGCTCTCTGGTGTATTTTATGTTGTCTTGTCTCCTGTTTTGTCTGCTATTTTTTTTTACCTTCCACCTACAAAAGAGTCAATGTGAAACACTGGGATACATTCACCCAATCACAAATGGACCCCTACCCTCTATGAAGTAATTGGATAGGTGTAAGCAATATCATAATAGCTGCACCTTGCCTTTTGATAAACTCACAGGAAATGTCACCTTATTGTGTACACCTATCCAATCCTTACAGATCTAGGAGGGAGTAGGGCAGCATTTCCCAAACTCTGTCCTCAGGGCCCCAAGGGGTTTAGGTTTTTTCCCTAGCACTACACAGCTGATTCAAATTATCAAAGCTTGATGATTAGTTAATTATTTGAATCAGCTGTGTAGTGCTAGGGCAAAAAAACTAAAGGTGCACCCCTTGGGGTTCCTAGGACCGAATTTGGGAAACCCTGGAGTAGGGGCTAGAGGTTGATTTGCGATTGGGCAAGACACTCATTTGGAACACTGACAGAAGCACATTGTATAGCATAACATTAGCATAACAACTGTCGCATGCTAGCACAAGTGGCTATGTTGGCACAGTTCGCGGTTGGTTGAGAGAGCATATGTTGGTGACTTCATCATCACATACTCAGACATGGGTGCACTGGTGCGTGCACACAGCAACACACATACAGTCGCTCTCTTTCTCTCACGCACCCCACACACACACACACACAGGCTCTTAGCTCAGCACCAGAGCCCTGGCCATGGGGAGTTTATGCTGAGCTGGTTTGGACGTGAGGACAGCTGACTAGACATGGCTATTCATCTGTCAAAGAAAAGAGGGAGAGAGAGAGGGTCTGTAAAGAACAAAGTCAGCCCAGAGCAACACATCTGCGCCTGTGTGTGTATCCTCCATCGGTTTATCCTCTGTTTTTTGTTCCTGTGTGTGTGTGTGTGTGTGTGTGTGTGTGTGTGTGTGTTTGTCTGAAGCATCACACTTCCAGTATGTTTTTTAAAAAAATGTTATATCATCTCTGTTTTCATTGAATGTGTTATCTAGCTAGGCTATAGCCTATATCAGGGTTCTCCAACCCTGTTCCTGGAGAGCTACCCCCCTGTAGGTTTTTGCTCCAACCCCAGTTGTAACTAACCTGATTCAGTTTATCAACCAGATCATTATTAGAATCAGGTGCGGTAGATTAGGGTTGGAGTGAAAACCTACAGGACGGTAGCTCTCCAGGAACAGGTTTGGAGACCCCTAGCCTGTATTGGCTTCCTTCATGTAGACCAATTGAGAGAACACTGCCCCTCACATCTTCAATAGAGCCTACCTCTTTGGAAGGTTCAACATAGAGCTAATAGATCTTTAAAGACACACTCCTAAATTCATTTAGAATTGTAAATACTGCAGATTGTACCTTTTTTAAAAGCATTTCTTTGCCCTTCATTTCTATTGGCATGTTGTCTATTGCACAAATCAATGATCATTCAATATCATGGTCTTCTCTATTAGGCCCATTTCTGTTTAGTTTGGGAGAGATTTATACTAATGGTGACTGATAAAGGAACAGCCAGAGGTCAGAGAGGTCGGAACACACAACACACTCTGTCAGAAGCCTTCTCACTCCACTAAATGACACAGCATGTGTTTAAACCCCCCCAAAGAAAGCCTTTTTTCGTTTTGTGTGTGTGTGCGTGTTCTATTCAGGAATGTTTGGTGGAGTTGTTTAGTTTCTATGTATGTCTAGATGTCTGTCTTACATTTTGTAGCTTGTTCTCATTGGTCAAAAATGATGGGAGCACTATGCCGAATTGAATTTTAGAGTTTCAAAAAAAATTAAGTAATTAGGCTAGTTAAGGTTGCTATATGGATTTTTAAGACCCCAGACCTAACAATTCCCTCAAAGTGCCTAGTTGGAAATAGTACATACACACACACATGTTCTTCTATCCTTGTGGGGACCAAAAATGTATTTCCATTCAAAATCCTATTTTCCCTAACACCTATCCCTGACCCTAAACCAAACCACTAACCCCTTACTCTAACCCTAATTGTAACCCTAACCCTAAACCTAACCACTAAGTTTAAAATAGCCTTTGTCCTCATGGGAACATGGGAAATGTCTTGTTTTACTATACCTGTGTGGACTTTTTTAAGGTCCCAACAAGGATAGAAGGACCAACACACAGGACTGACGGCGCCCTCCACTACCATCTGTTGCCTCCTTTCCCTATGACATCACCCCACCAATCCCCTATTGTGTTAACCCATCATCGCCCGTCTTTCACCTTAACCCCTTAATTACCACTAGCCACCCCCCTCCCTGTCCCTCCCCTACCCAGAGACACTGTGCCACTCGGTCCGTGCGCTAATCCGTCAGCGTCTGCCCTCTTAACACCTGCCACCACACTCGTCTAACTCAACTCCCATTCTGGAGCCCATGCCAGTTTCTTCTCTATTTCGCCGGAAGAGCACACACAGTGAAAAGCCCAAAGCGGCGCAAACACACACACATGCTGAGACACACATACACACATGAACGCATGCACGCACACGGGCACACACACATACACGCACGCACACGCACACGGCTCAGAATAGCCTGAGATGGGACAGATAGGTCTCTTTTGTCATCGTCGTCCCTCCCCTCCGCTGCCCTCCCACCCCTAGACATCTTTTGCAGGGCGCTCATGTGTAGGGCGCTGGCCCCATTGCCCAACAATGGCCACCGTAAGACTCCAAGGAACCCCTGGTGATAGGTGGAGGGCGAGACGTGAGGAAATGTGACAGTTCTGGTGCAGCTGACACAATGGTGTTTCTTTCCCGCGGCTGACTGCCCTGCGTTGGCTATAAGAGAGCCTGGGCAATTTGCTCACTGTTGTAGTTTTCGAGGAGGAAACTAACATGTTCTGCTGTGGTCTGGAAACCACCCCCTGCCACTAATTACTTGACCGTAATGGATGTGTGTATATCATCCACAAACATAAAAAACTACTTGGAACCGATGTCCCTTCAAAAAGAGAAATATTTATCTTAGACATGAACAAAGAATATATGTTTTGATTTTATTCTGAAGATGTTTGATATAGGAACACTTGGTGTTTTATTTGACTTTAGGGTATCTATTGTGCTGGAGGTTGATTATCATATTTTCTCATGATTATACTAATGCCACCTGCCCCCTTTTATAATCTTGTATCTTTGCTTTTCTCTCAGTGTGTCTCTTGTATGAGTGAGGTTAACTACCGTTCGATAATGACAGCACATTTAGTCATTTCCCTTTATATTACTACCACTCTCAATGTGACCTTGGCATTCACTGTCAGCATTCTGATTGTGTATGTGAGTGTGTGTGTGTGTGCGCATGTGTATGACTGTGTCTGTCTGTGTGTGTGTGTGTGTATAATATAGAGAGAAATAAATGTAGTTTGTTGATAATGGCATATTGATGGGGTTTGGAGTGGACTGGCCCTGAGGCCTCATCCTAACTGGTCAGGACTGAATGCACCTCTTCATGCTTCACTACACACACTCAATTAAGGCATGGGGAACAGAGGACCGCACGCACGCGCACACACACACACACACACACACACTTTGTTGTTGATGACTGCAGCATGATAGCATTTCCCCTCTGTTTGACCTCCTAATGACTGGTGACTGTGCCAACTGTGTTCTTTCTGTCCCTGTCTCTGTGTCTCTGTCTGTCTCTGGGTTGACAATATAGCCTACCAGATGTCAGTTATTGCGTTGGTTGCGTGGTTATCATGTAACCTATTATTAGATTATAAATGGTCTAATAGTTTTTTCTTGTTGTGTTTTCAGGTGTTTTTCAATGATACTTTCTCCAGTCTTAATGATCCCTCCAACAACAGGAGTAAAGCAACATCTACAGACGTATCCCTCATCATGATCACTATGAGAACCTTATGACTTTGGAACACACGGGTCAGTTTTCTTCATCAGGGATCAACAGACACTTGAGCTACCACAACCCTGGGGCTGGAAATGGAGGTGGTGTCGAAGCAGGAGCAGGCGGACCAAAGCAAGGCCGACGCTGTCAAGAGTGACCAGGAGGAGGACAATGCAACGGCCTCTGGCCACACCTGTGGTCTCTGCGGACGGAGCTTCCCTCTCCTGAGCTCGCTGTCCCAGCACATGCGCAGGCACACTGGGGAGAAGCCCTACAAGTGTCCCTACTGTGAACACCGGGCGGCCCAGAAGGGCAGCCTGAAAGCCCACATCCGCAGCCATAAGCTGGGCCTGCTCAGCCGGAGACTGGGCAAGAAGGAAGGGGAGGAGGGGGTTGGGGAGCAAGGACAAACACAGGGGGACCCTAAGCAACTGAATAGTCCCGCCGACAACCTCGCCAATGGCACCTTGGCCAAGAAGCACAAAGTCAACGGCAAGACGGGAAAAAAAAGCTCCAAGAAGAAAGGCGAAGACTCAGTCGTCCAGGATAACGGCAAGGAGGACGAGCCACAAACCACGACTGAGGACAACTCACTTCCGGGAGGGACCAACTGGGTGGACAACGGGGAAGAGGAAGCCAGTGCGGGCTCCTTTCCCTGCGGCTCTTGCAGCCAGGTCTTCCCCCAGGCCTTGCTCCTCAAGGCCCACATGAAGAAGCACCGCGGCTCCCTGGACCACGGTTGCCGCATCTGCGGCCGGCGCTTCCGCCAGGCCTGGTTCCTCCAGAGCCACATGCGGATTCATCGGGCAAAAAGCCAGCTGCGGTGTGGGGGTTGCGACAGCAGCGAGTCCCAGGCCACCCTCAATGGGGTCTCCCGGGAGCCGGCGTCCCTGGTGAACGATAACTGTCTCTACGAGCTGTGTGCCGGCTGCGGCAACTTCTTCTACGACCGCAAGACCCTCCGGTTGCACGAGAGGGTCCACAAGCAGAGCCACACCCCCAGCAAGCCGCCGCAGCAAGACCCCTGACAACGGCTCGTCGTCACCCGCCGCCAAGAGGCGCTACCTGGAATGCCTTAACCTCAGGGCAACCGGGGCTGGAGAGGGGAGTCTTGGAAGACGGATCCCTGAGCTGGACCCAGTATGCAGTTACCAGGCCTGGCAGTTGGTCACCAGAGGGCGTGTGGTAGAGGTGACAGATAAAAGTCTAGGCTGGGAGGAGAGGCTGGCGGATGCCGAGGTGGCGTTTGCCCAGGAGAAGGGCGAGTATGTGCCTTTGAAACAAGAGAAGCGGAAGAGGCAGCTGGACTCCTCCCAAAGCAAGAAGAAGAAAGGGGCCCAGGATGTTGTCATTAATGGTGGCAGCGGTGGGCTCTCCCACCAGAAGGGTGACAGTAGAAATAGCCATACCTTGTTGAATGGGCTCAGCCCAGAGACGTTTGGGATATTGCAGAAAAAGAAGGTGAAAGATGGTCATCAGTCCAGCAAGCAAGCCACTAAATTAAACTCTGCCAGTCAGCCCAGCACACCAAGACAAGAAGATTCTCTGTCTGCCTCTTCCATAAAGAGGAATAGTATCAGGGACCCAACCTATGAAGGTAAGACAAAACCACACCTAGATTAGCTACAATAATTAGATTTTCTTTAAATTACATGACAAAAGGCATCTTGTCGTATTCACACATTTTGCTTACTACTACAGTAATAATAATGAAATAATTCCCCCCAAAATTCAGACATTACCATACAAAATTCCACTCCCATACCATATTAACTGAAGTAAATCAGAGTTTTCAGAGTGATTCAGTCATGGTTGGTTTGGTTTCTGTTGCTACTCAGTCCTGAGTTATGGTCAATCTAATATCTTCCCATGGTAAAGGGAGACCTAATGTGTTGATCAAATTACACATCTTAGCATAACTAAACGCCTCAGTGTATGTGGGCACATCTCTCTCACAAGCTGCTGAAGTATGTAGCATACTTAGCATAGTAGACTGCAGATTGAGCCTTAGTGTGTCAAACAGGGACCTGTTCTTATGTTATGGTTTACTTGTCTGTATTCTTGTACATCAACTGATTATTGTAGACAAGACAGTCTGAAAAGTGATGCTGCTTTGACTGTTAAACTCTGTGATAGGATAATAAATTGTTCCCTTCCAAGTCCTCTTGATAACAGTATTAACCAAGAACCATAAGGACATGTACTGGTTTCCTCTGCACTCACAGTTGTAAAGGCTTTGAACGTTTCAAATTGCACTCTGGACACCTGACACAAAAATGTATAATGAACTGTAAGTCGCTTTGTCACTTTGATAATGGCAATGGTTCTTATTTCATTTTCAGTTAACTGGGTTCATGCCCATGACTCAGTCAACTCATATAGGTAAATGTTTTATGTTTGATTGCCACTGCATGATCATGGCAGCCAAGTGTAGATATGATTGAATTTACCCTTTCTCACATTAATTAATATATAATGTGTCTTAGCAGTTTTCCAAGATTAAAAGCATGGTGTTAAGTTTCCATGGAGCAGACCAATACGTACAATGTTGTTCACCAGTTGCCACTGAATGAATGGCTTTGCGTTCATCTGGACACGCTTGCCATACACCTTTAATCCTACATAAAGGAATATTTAAATTTTAGTCATTTAGCAGACACTCTTATCCAGAGCGACTTACAGTTAGTGAGTGCATACATTTTCATACTGGAAGCCAATATGAAAGGCCTTTACATCTGGTACTTTGCTAAATGAGGCATAACCCTTTCTGTACCATTCATATATCTTGACATTTGTTTATTAATGTTTTCTGGAATATTCTATATGCCTTATAAAGGGTTCATGATGGCTTCCTTAAACCTTAAAAGTTATGTTGGACGTGAACACAGTTGAATTTAGCTTAAATGGTAAATAGCTGAGTTGTTAGGATAAATGACTGAAACATTACTAATGAAAAGTAGCATGACAATGTCCTCCTTTCTTATCCACATGTTTGTTCAATCATGTTACCGCTTATTAAATATTCACACCTTGCTGAAGCTCATTTTCTTAAAATGTCAGTTTTTCAATATGAGCTTAGTCTACCTGTACTCTGCAATCCACAGATACCAAGCCATACTTCTGTGAGAACTGTGACTTCCACACCAGCGACCCCTCTTCCTTCACATCCCACATGCACAAGCAGCACAAGGACATCAGGGATGCACATCATCACAAACTGGGAGCTTTTATGGAAGACCCGAGCCACGGCGCTCCCAAGGTCTCAGGTTATATGGAATATCTTCAGCTGAAGAGCACACTGCTCGGCCAGCCCTACCCGAATCCCTACGTCTGTCCTCCTGGCCAGGAGAGGGCGGCATCGAGCTGCCAGTCGGAGAAGTCAAGGAGCCTAAAGGTCAAAGGGCAATCCTCTCAGGATGCCATCATCAACGCCAGCCTCCTCAACCTGTCTGCCCTGCCCGAGGGCCAGGAGGAGGATGGTGGTGTGAACCTTATGGCAGCAGCGTCTGAGGGTAAGTTGGTCAGACACCAGTGTCCGTTCTGCACCCACACAACCCATTACCTGGAGGTGCTGTGGATCCACCAGCGTGTGGCCCACAGGGTGGATAGTGGCAGCTCCCTGGCCCCCAAGTGGGCCCCCTATGTCACCGGCTTCAAGGGCCCCAAGGCTGCTGGACGGCGCACGGGGCCCCCACCCTTCCTGGAGGGCAAAGACTGCCCGGCGATCCCAGTCCCCCAGGCCCAGCGCACACAAGCCCCAGGTTCCACCACCACACAACCATCAGATGGAGGCACCAAGAGGCCAAAGACCCACACAAGCACTACAACTACTACTTCCCAGTCCAACACCAGCCAGGCCATGGTGACAGGGTCGTGTACCTCCACAAGGTCGCCCCCTGGTGGTGGGAAGTCACTCCTACCTCAAAAGAAGAAGTCAAGCCGCCCAACCCATATGGGGGAGGTGGCAAATAAGAGTGTTCGATCTAAAACGAAAGCCCACCCCAAAGCTCCTGCCACCACCACCACCGCCTCAACCAGCATTCAAGGCTTCTCCCAGCAATCGACAAGCAGCCCCAAATCCGGAAGCCATTATCAGGCGGCTGCCGAGGGAAGCCTGCTTACGCAAGAGGGCCTCGGCTTTATTCTCGCTAGGAACCATGGCAGGGCCGACCATGCGACCCATCTTACCCTAGACAGAACTCACCTCCACCCCCAGCCCCATCCACACCCCCACAGCCATCCACGGGATCCACCTGCATCCCCGAAAGGTCAATACCTTTGGTCAGTCACAAACATGTTTGGGGCGCAGGGCAGCAGTGGGTACCTGGCACCCACCACCACCCTCGGCCACGGGAAGAGGGAGTCGACTGCTGGAGACAGCAGAGACACCCCGATGGACATGGGCATCCTGGGTCTGTTGAAGAACTACAACCCTCACGACCTGGCAGCTCTCTACCAGCACTGGGGCTTTGTAGATCCCAGGCTTGACCCACAAGGTAAGGGGGAGATTGAGTGTTGGGTAATGTAGTCCATTAATGAAATTGGCAGTGAAAATAGTTTTATAATGTTCACCACAGCCCTACATAATTCAGCATGTACACAGAGAGGGAGAGAAGGATAGACAGACATTCACAAAACTGACCATGTACTGTACAATGTACACTAAGGTCAAACCTGCAGCTTGTCGTCGTAGATATCATCATCGTCCTCTTTAGCCCTTTGAGTCACATTTAATAACGTGACCTTTAAAAATATATATATATATATACAGTACCAGTCCAAAGTTTGGACACACCTACTCATTCTAGGGTTTTTCTATATTTGTAATATTTTCTACATTGTAACTATGAAATAACACATATGGAATCATGTAGTAACCATTCTTCAAATGGCCACCCTTTGCCTTGATGACAGCTTTCCACATTCTTGGCATTCTCTCAACCAGCTTCACCTGGAATGCTTTTCCAACAGTCTTGAAGGAGTTCACACATATGCTGAGCACTTGTTGGCTGCTTTTCCTTCACTCTGCGGTCCGACTCATCCCAAACCATCTCAATTGGGTTGAGGTCTGGGGATTGTGGAGGCCAGGTCATCTGATACAGCACTCCATCACTCTCCTTCTTGGTAAAATAGCCCTTACACAGCCTGGAGGTGTGTTGGGTCATTGTCCTGTTGAAAACCAAATGATAGTCCCACTAAGCCCAAACCAGATGGGATGGCGTATCGCTGCAGAATGCTGTGGTGGCCATGCTGGTTAAGTGTGCCTTGAATTCTAAATAAATCACAAACCGTGTCACCCGCAAAGCACCCCCATATCATAACACCACCTCCTCCATGCTTTACAGTGGGAAATACAAATGTGGAGATCATCCGTTCACCCACACTGTGTCTTACAAAGACACGGCGGTTGGAACCAAAAATCTCAAATTTGGACTCCAGACCAAAGGACAAATTTCCACCGGTCTAATGTCCATTGCTCGTGTATCTTGGCCCAAGCAGGTCTCTTTTTCTTATTAGTGTCCTTTAGTAGTTTTTTCTTTGCAGCAATTCGACCATGAAGGCCTGATTCACACAGTCCCCTCTGAACAGTTGATGTTGAGATATGTCTGTGACTTGAACTCTGTGAAGCATTTATTTGGGGTGCAATTTCTGAGGCTAACTCTGGGTCTTCCATTCCTGTGGCGGTCCTCATGAGAGCCAGTTTCATCATAGCGCTTGATGGTTTTTGCGATTGCACTTGAAGAAACTTTTGAAGTTCTTGAAATGTTCCGTATTGACTGACCTTCATGTCTTAAAGTAATGATGGACTGTTGTTTCTCTTTGCTTATTTGAGCTGTTCTTGCCATAATATGGACTTGGTCTTTTACCAAATAGGGCTATCTTCTGTATACCCCCCTACCTTGTCACAACACAACTGATTGGCTCAAACGCATTAAGAAGGAAAGAAAGTCCACAAATTAACTTTTAGGAAGGCACACCTGTTAATTGAAAACCATTCCAGGTGACTATCTCATGAAGCTGGTTGAGAGAATGCCAAGAGTGTGCAAAGCTGTCATCAAGGCAAAGGGTGGCTATTTGAAGAATCTCAAATCTCAAATATATTTTTATTTGTTTCACACTTTTTTGGTTACTACATGATTCCATATGTGTTATTTCATAGTTTTGATGTCTTCACTATTATTCTACAATGTAAAAAATAGTAAAAATAAAGAAAAACCCTTGAATGAGTAGGCGTGTCCAAACTTTTGACAGGTACTGTATATATTTGTCCTCCACCTTTTCTCTTTTTCTACGAGGGTTTTGGCATGAATGCTAATAGTTTGGGGAAACATGTTTACCAAGGCCGACCGAAGGACATGTTTCTGCCGGTGATAGGACCAGTCAAGGAATAGGTCTCAGTCTAGTGTCGACCTGTGTGTAGGTCCTGGGGTGGTGTGTATGTGTCAGTATGTGCGTGCATGGATCACAGTGACACAGATGGGCAGTGGGCACCCAGTACTGTGACAAGGATAAGGGTGTGTGTGTGTTTGTGTCTGAGAGAGAGAAAGGGAGAATGATGAAGGTGGCATGGAGTCCACACATACACAGTCAATTCCACGGCCAGAACACCAGAGAGACCTGACACAATCGGGGTGACAGCGGGGGAAAGCTCAGCGAGCAAGTACAGGGAAAGAGAGAGAGAAACAAGAGGCAGAGAAAGAGTGACCTAGTGAGAGGGATATTTAGACATAGAGAGAGAAAAAGAGTGAGAGGAGCACACCTGACATGTGACACGGGAGCGCTGGCCAAGGGCACATCACAGAGGCCCGGCAATTTAATATGCAGTAATTTATGCGCTACTTCCCAGGCAGCCAGGGGGTGTGTCAGGGCTGTCGGATGCACGCCACCACGATTCGGTACGAAAGTCGCCTTGCCCTGAAGGAAGCCCCCCCCATCTTAATGGCATGATATACTAATGAGCCCCATACTTTGTGGCTTAGGTGGTCTAGTGGTTAGCGTCGCCGCCTCTAACACGTGTATACCTGTGTCTGTGTGGGTTCAAATCTGACCCACAGCCCCTTGACACTGACTCCTATTCTTTCCACACTATCACACTATGACTTTATTCTGTTCAATACAAACCTGGAAGAAAAACCCAATGAGCTAGCTACTGTTTTTGCAGAATACATGCCTGCTGCACAGTGCCGGTGGGTAAAGATTGGATAAGTTAAAATAGCGTGAGATAATTGTCGCAATTTTCATGAATGGAACAGGTTAGCTACCTATCCAACACTGCAATTAGAGCTTGCTGGCTCACTAACTGTAACATACTGAAGTAGGTCAGCTACAATGTAGGTCAGCTAGCTAGCTAGCTAGCTAGCATTTCCTCCATAAATGAAGCAAATTATCTAGCTAGCTACCAGCTTAGAAACATAGAGGCAAGAGAGTGGTGTTGAACTACCAGACGGCTTTGTTTAGAAACATTCTGATTTGGTCTATACTCATTCACTCCCCCAAATTCCAAATGCAAGCACAGATTTACACACACACACACACACACACACACACACACACACACACACACACACACACACACACACACACACACACACACCGCTAATGATGAAAAAACCATCAAAAAAGGAAGTGTGTTTTTTGTGTGTGTGCATGCCAGTCTGCCTGTGTATATGCTTTTGTCCTTGGATAGCAGTCCTTCAACTTTGAACAAACACATTTGCTTGTGACACTGACCTGTGAAATGTTTTATACATTATTAATCAGATGTCAGTTATGGGGATGTAATTGGTGTGTGTGTGCATGCTAATGAGATGCCTGGCCACCAGCACAGTGACCATTGGTCCTCTGTAGCTCAATTGGTAGAGCATGGTGCTTGCAAAGCCAGGTTAGTGGGTTTGATTCCCGGGAGCACCCATACTTAAAATGTATGCACACATGACTGTAAGTCGCTTTGGATAAACGTGTCTGCTAAATGGCATACATATTATAATTATATATATTATAATTTGACCACAATTCAATGGAAGACAAAAAACTAGAACAAGCAGAAATGCCATCGATTTCTTCCCTGCATGTCACTCCAAGGCAATATTACCCTGAAATCCAATCTGAATATTGCCCTAAAAATACAACAGATACCGTAACTTACTGTGATATTATTAGGTTCTGTTTTTTACTTGTAACTCTTGGTTGTGAAAGTCTTGGGATTCTAAAGTGTTGCTCTGTCTCTTGTTTCTACAGGGATACTGCAGTACAATGGACATTTTGAAAATGAAGTCCATTCCTCCACAGAGGCCTCCAAACAAGTATGGTACTTTCGTTGTTTGGGTTTTGTTTTGCCGTGACAGTTCTCCCCCTTAATTCCTCACCTGTGCCAGAGTCTGGTCGTGTGGTAATGCCCCCCTATATGCCCCCTGGCCCAATTTATCGATCTGGATTTCGGCTATCGGATAAGATTAAATGCATAGAAATAGAATCAGTATCTTGACTGTCTGTGCACCTTTTAAATGTATATCTCCCTCTTTGCATCCCCCCTAACCTGTCAATAACAAAATACTAGACCTTTAAGAAAAATCCCTTTTCTGCTCCCAGCTCTGAGAATCCAAAAGAGAAATCTGTGTTTGAAGCACTAAAGGCGAGGCAGTGATACTTGGGCGTCTGTGTCAGACGGCTCTTTCTCTGCTTGGTACGATGAGCTGACAGGAAAACAAAAAATAAAAACGTTTTGACGTCCCCCTTGGGGTAAACAGTCGTGCGTCTCCATATGGCATGTCAACATCCTGCCAATCATGACCACACGCAGGCCCTCCTGGACACTCTCTACCTGCCTGTCTGTTCTCTTTGTATGTTCTTCTTCTTCTGTTGCCTTTGTAATGCGTGAGACGTGAGGACACACTGACACACACCGAAAGATGAACTCACACACTCTCACACAAACTGACATTTTTGCACATTCAGAAACACACAGTCGGAAGTATACTTGCACACACACAAATACACTCCTAGAAAGACAACTGACACTCAGCAACACGCACGCACACACACAAACACACACTAACGTGTCTTGGTATGATCTGTGATCTGACTCCATTTTGCCCCTTGTCCCTGTCCTCTGCAGGTGATCGGCCGTTCCGCTGCTTCAACAGCCTCTCTCAGGAAGGGGACATGAAAACTCCACATGCCACATGCACTGAAAACCCAAAATGCACTGTTGCAAGACGAGAGGCCTGCAGTCCCTCACAGGAACCAAGCCATGACTACAGGAGCTCTACACTTTAGGGGCCCAATTGTATCAAGGGACACTAACTAACTAAACCCCCCGGACTAAAGAAGTTACCATTACATGTGGACGTGACGGAGTGGAAATTCTTCCCCAACTGGGGTGTGAACTCACAACCCTCTGCACTGTAACTCAACAAGCACCGTCAATACCGCAGACCCAGAAAGGCCAAGGCATTTCTGACTCCAGAGCGACAGAACTTCTCAGGAAGGCAATAGCGATGCACTTAACCATCTGCTACATCACACTCTGGGCTTAGATCACAGGAGGTTTGTGGCACCTTAATTGGGGAGGACTGGTTTGTGGTAATGGCTGGAGCAGAATCAGTGGAATGGTATCAAATACATCAAACACATGATTTCCATGTGTTTGATGCCATTCCGTTCGCTCCGTTCCAGTCATTATTATGAGCCATCCTCCCCTCAGCAGCCTCCACTGGCTTAGATGTTTCTGTGGTGAAAGTATACTGATGTAGAGATGGTGCTGTTTAGTTTGTGATGATTGAGGTCAGATTGGGTTAGATAACTGATCCTAAATCAGTTGTTAACGGGCAGGAAACCAGGATCCCCCAGGATATTTTATGTAACCTTTAAACCCTTTAAATCCATGTCAGAGAAAAAAGACTGAAGCAAAGACTGAAATGTTCATATTATAGCCCTCCAGAGAATTGAAAGAAAATGGTGAAGTAATCGGATTCGTTTGTGTATTTACTGTGAATGTGTGTTAGTTTTTTAGTCATCTGTTTATTTTAGCTTTTGACGCTTTCTTGTCTTATTTGGAAACGGTTTGGATTGGTCAGGTCAGCCAGCTCACACAAGCAAAGTTATCATCTACCTTTTAAAGCTGGAATCCTTAATGGTGAAACAGCCATGTCTGTTTGTGATATTACAACAACAAAGAAGTTATTGCAAACAACAAACACTTTTTTCCCTCAGACATCATTGCATGCGCGACAGAACAGCAGCATATGTAGTGCTTTTTTTTTTTACCTTGATGCGCGATGCTCCCCAGCTCTGCTTCGTCCCAAAAAACGAAAACAATAACAACGGCTGTGGGGCGGACAGTGGCGCGGTTTCCCCCACTGAGGATTCCATCTTTAAGTAACAATAATGAAGCAGCTGTTTGTGACTTACCAGCCATCTCCAGCCATGTTTACATGAACAACAAGTATTCTAGAATCTGCTGTCCAGGGATGTAGTGGAGGGTAAATGCACGTAACCGTCGGCAGGTAGTCTCGGCTGGTAGCCTCGAGGTTAGACTGTTGGGCCACTAACAGAGGAAGCAAGCAGAGAGAGAGGTTAGTACAGTGTTTCCCAAACTTGGGGTCGGGGCCCTATGTGGGGTCCCCTGAGAAAATCTGTACAAATCTTATTAAACAAATGTAAAAACGTAAACATATTGTTCAATATCTCCCCATGTCCTACCTTCCCTATAGGCCTACATTAAAATGTCATCAAAATGCAAACAATACAGTTATAAAAATGTCATACGTTTTAGTTTATATAGATGGTTGTTCGTCTTAAACTTCGCCCACGAGTTTATAGTTTACCGACCTTTTTTTTACCACTACATCACAGCTGCTGACTATAGCACCTAGATGGAGTATGTATGTTCTATTTTTGTGCTGTTGCGTTATGTCTGTATGTCCACTTAAGTTGATATCGCAGCATTGAAAGACTGGCTTCTCTGTGTTGAACTGAAAGAGATTCCATCGCTAGGGAGCACTCTGACCATGTGGAACATTTCAAAAGTTGTGAGATGTTTCTCAGACCTCAGAAAGTTGTCTTCTGTTGAGATAATTCCACTTCCCAGGCCATCTGATCCAGATGGAACTGAAAATGAATCCAAAACAAAACGAATGGAAAAGAAAAGCACAATGTAACTTACAGATTTGCAGTGCTTCATGCATATAGTTGGATCTACACAACCAATGGCGATGTGAACTTGAACAGAAGGCCACTTTTGAGGTTTGAGAACAGAAAATGTCCCTTTAGAAGGTAGATGTGCAGTTTGACTCTATGAAAATGACTACTCTTCATTGAGGAGGATTGTGGGTCGGTCTTGAATTGTCTGTTTCGAAACAATGTTCTTTAGTTCCTTTTTGCAGTGTTTTATTTTTGTGTTTTGCTGAATCACTGGGTATCTCTGTCTTACAAATGGCTTCTGCAGTTTTTTCTAGTTATTTTAGCTGCGCACAAGGAAAGAAAGCCATCCATGTTAAACAGTACCAATCTGATGTTATTACTAGGTTATTTATTGAATTGTATATGATAGTTATCCACCTTGATCGATTGTCGTATGTGAAAAAAAAAACACTAAAAAGTTTGTTTTTATTAATTTAAGTCAGAATTATATAGATTATAAAACGGTACACTTTTGTAATAAGAAAAGGTTGTGGCTTAGAGGGACATGTATTTCTCAGAATGCTTAATGAAGACTAGCTATGTTCGCTAATGGCAAGTGCCCAGATATTCTTTTAGGACTTTAGATGATGGGGTTGTATTTTCAAAGTATTTATATTGCATAATACCTGTTAGTACAAATAAAATTTGATATATTTACATGGGCATGCTTTTGGTCATTTTGTTATCCCAGAGTGTCACGCCCTGACTCAGGGGACTCTTATATGTTGAGTCAGGGTGTGTTTATTCTATGTTGTGTATATCTAGTATGTGTAGTTCTATGTTGGCCGGTGTGGTTCCCAATCAGAGGCAGCTGTCGCTCGTTGTTTCTGATTGGGGATCATACTTAGGCAGCCTATTGGCACTGTTTAGTTGTGGGATCTTGTTCCGTGTAAGGTATGTTGTGGTTTCTACCTTTGGACTTAACGTTTTGTTTGTTGTTTTGTCATGTGTTTATAAGTTAAATAAACATGTACGCATATCACGCTGCGCCTTGGTCTGACCCGTCCTTGAACGAACGTGACAGAAGATCCCACCAAACACGGATCAAGCAGCGTGCCCAGGAGGACCGAACACCCTGGACACAGGTGGGGAAGATTTGGTCATGGGAGGAGATATTTGCGGGTAAAGGACCCTGGGCGAAGCCCAGGCAGGAGAGGAGCAACCAGGCCAGTGGTGCGTGTTCCCAGTCCGGCCCGGCCCGTTCCTGCTCCTCGCACCAAGCTAGTGGTGCGTGTTCCCGGCCCGGCCTGTTCCTGCTCCTCGCACCAAGCCAGTGGTGCGCGTCGCCAGTCCGGCCCGGCCCGTTCCTGCTCCTCGCACCAAGCCAGTGGTGCGTGTTCCCAGTCCGGCCTGGCCCGTTCCTGCTCCTCGCACCAAGCCAGGGGTGCATGGGTCCAGTCCGGCACGGGCCGTGCCTGTTCCACCGGTGCCTGGTCCGGCACCGGTCAGCTTCTCCACTCCGGAGCCAGAGCAGTCCGCTCCACCGGTGCCTGATCCAGCTCCGGTCAGCTGCTCCACTCCGGAGCCAGAGCAGTCCGCTCCACCGGTGCCTGATCCAGATCCGGTCAGCTGCTCCACTCCGGAGCCAGAGCAGTCCGCTCCACCGGGGTTCAGTCCAGCTCCGGTCAGCTGCTCCAGTCCGGAGCCAGAGCAGTCCGCTCCACAGGTGCCTAGTCCAGCTCCGGTCAGCGGCTCCAGTCCAGACCCAGACGTAAGCCACTCTCCAGGTTCGGGGTCTCCCACACCAGGGTCCAGACAGGGCTTAGTACTTCGTGGGAGGAAGGAGAGGGGAAGCAGCGCGCCGAGGACCAGACCAGACCAGGGGCGCAACAGGGAGGCGGAGAGTATGTGGTCGTCACGCCCGGAGCCTGATCCGCCTCCTACCCTGTTAGGTAAAGGTTGTGCGGTCGGAGTCCGCACCTTTGGGGGGGGGGGGGGGGTACTGTCACGCCTTGACTCAGGGGACTCTTATATGTTGAGTCAGGGTGTGTTTATTCTATGTTGTGTACAGTGGCGGCTCCTGAAAAAATTCTCAGGGGGGGCAATTTTTCTGATGATTTAGGTGACCTACACACATTTTAAAAAAGATATGTCCAGCAACAACATGAAGACAGGGGCAGCA